GACATATACTGAGGATGCCATCAGAACGAATCCCCAAAGTCAGGGTGCCCTCAGATGGACACCAACAGGGAGACAAAATAGGGGCAGACTAAAAGCCCCATGGTGAAGAATGGTTAATGCTGAGCTGGGAGATGGATCTCTCACGGGATCGGGCCTAAGCTGGGGCCAAAGTCAGCTGCCAGAGCCAGAAGAAGATTGTTGCAGCATTATGAACCACCTGTGACGAGTAAAATACAGAAAAATATTAGAACATATTTGAAGAAATAAATAACAAACAAGGCGGCAATGAAAAGCAAACAAGACAAATAACAAATTTGAAATAAACTGATAAAAAAAGAAAAATACTTTCAAGTCCTTCTGGACTTGTGAGTGTAATTGTGAACTTGTACTTTGATCCTTCCGTTCCCCCAATTTTTACCAAAAATCCAATGTCACCCGCCTCCAGTGTGCTGGAAATTAATTGAACATGATTTATTTAGCTTTGAGTCATATGGACACTTGATACCTGACTTGAGTGAGAAACTATCCACCAGCATTCTGCACCTGTTTTCACTCCGATTACTCCTCTAATGTCCCTGACGCCTGAATCCAGAGGGCTTTAAGGTGCGACACACCTGACAGAAGAGCCGTTTGTGCTGAGCTGGAGATTTACTGGCAATCTGGTTTAAGTGCCACACTCAAGGGCACGATGGTCAGGAATACGACATGGGATTTTGACTCTCAGGTTTCCAATCTATTTTGAGGAGCAGAGTGATAAATTGCTGTTGTGTTGGTTCATTTGTAAATGTATTATTTGTAATATGAAGAATGGGCAATCAGCCTGCATGCATGGGCAGATATTCACAGCTTAATTAATTGGTCCGTCTGTCTTGTTACTTATAAAACACAAGTGTGTCTGATGGCCAACTGAGGATGAATGTATCGCATGAAGCGAGGATGTGTGTTTACTGATTGCTGACAAACTGACAAGTCTGGGTACTAAAAAAAACTTGAATGATGAAATGAATGTTGTTATTATTATTATTAATAACATCAATACCTACAAATCCTTTTATTAAACCTGCTTTGTCTTCAGCAGTATCAGTCATCCTGCCACTGGAGATTAGAAAATGTATCCAACATGACTTTGAGGACAGATTTGAAAAGCTCTGCTTGTATTATTATTGGATTTTGTGTTTGCGTTTGACAAAGATAACCTAAATGTGTAAATTAGAGTTACCAATGGCATTGCTCAGGTTCAAGCTAAATGCTTTGAGCACAGGTGCACTGATCAGGGTTCATCCCCACGTCTGACATCTATCTTTTTTTATCTTTACTGCTTTACTTATCTTTTCTGGTCTACAACCTATTATTAGTCCGTCCCATCATCCGACCAGATGAGAAAACAACACTTCAGCAGACTCTGGCAGCTGGATGATGTTTGGAGAAAACAAAGGAGTATGTCTGCACATCTGTCAAAACTCACATAAAACCATCAACGTGAAATTAAGCTTTTCCAGACAAGTCATGTGGAGCAGTTATGTTGAATTTTGAATTTTGACTTCTGTCCATAGCCAGCAGGAAGTTAGCTTAGCTTAGCATGAAGACTGGAAACAGGTGAAAACACCTAGCATAACATTTTTTTGTATCGAAACTTATATCAAACCAAATGTAAAAATGTCAAGTTGTGGTTAAACGGGGGGTTTGTGTTGCAGTGGAAGATATTGCATCATACACGTAACCCCAGACATAACTTTTGAAGCGCTTGTAGGTTGATTTTTTTAACCTTTGGACAAAGCAAGGCTAGCTATGTACTGTATATGGTGGAACATGATGTTAGTCAAGAAACAGCCCAGCACATACAGGGTAGCTACAGGGTAGCTTTCCCCGGGGCCTCTATGCTTTATGCTAAGCTAGGGTAATTAGCTCTTGCTACGTTAAAGAGTTAAAGGAGTTGTGTAAGCATCAGTTCGTATAAGTCCCCCTGCCTGGTCTGCAGTTCACACTCGGATAATGAGAATATATTGAGTGTGTGTCTGAACCTGAACAGCTCCTTGTAAAGTGAACCTGTGAGCCATTCATTATTCATCACGATCAAGCGTTGCCATGACTCTCTGCCTACTTGGGAGGACCTTACGAGTTTGGCACGACTCCTTGTAAGTGTCTGTTTCGGCTGCCAAGTGTTTGTGTGATGGCCTGAAAAAAAAAAAAAAGACGTCGGACTCAGAAGCCCATGCAGAGAACAACGGTCCAACTGCTATCTCATAGCAAATTTAAAGTCAATACAAGGGGGATGATGTGTTTGGCAAGCTTTGATAATGTGCTTAACTGAGATTTTTCACAGCAAGCATTCATTCGTTCATGCAGAACTGTGTCACAGCTGGATTTCTACTGAAAAAAGTACTCATCAAATTTTGAAATAACAAATATGGCTTGATGGAGCTTTAGCCATTAGTTATACCATATTACAAAAAGGTAAAAATAAAACTTTTTCCAAGGTATTAACTTTTACTAAATGTATGACTATAATCACGGCTGTGGAAAGAAAACAGTTTGCAGACACTGTGCGTAAGGCAAGACTATGAATGCTAAGATAAAATTAAATGCCATTTTGACAATTGTAATGAAACAATGAATAAAAGCTCCCATGACAATGCTGAAGCGACATTTAGCATTTGTCTCGTCTGTCTCCAGGAAGGTTATGAATGAGTGTAGCAGGCTGACTTCAATAAAGACGTACTCCAGTGATTAATGTTGCATTTTTCATTAAGCTGGGGGGCTCGCAACAGATAGAATATAACAAATATATATCAACGGTCACTACAGCTATGCTGGCTGCTCTGCAAGGCTGTACATAGGCACAGCAGTCTTACAAATAATAAATCAAATGTATTAGTATGGTGCTTCGAGCAAAATTGAAATGGAAACATCAACATACTAACATGCTCACAATGTCAACACGCTGATATTCAGCAGGTATACTATTTACCATGGTCAATCAGCTCACCCATTACCACAAAACCACATGAGGACATGTTAAACATGTAGTAACACATGCATCCTACATACCCACATAACAGGAAGAAGCTCAGATAAAGCTAATGATGAATTTTTACCAACAAGAAACACATTTTCAACACAAAGCAACTAAATGAGCGGTGCATGTGGGCATAGTGGTGCTAATAATTTTGCTGCTTCTTGCTACTTGCACACACACGACATGTCATGTCTTCATGAAAGCAAGACTCATATTTTACCAGTATATGTTTTAACACTGTATGACCAAAACTCACTGAGCCAGCAGCCGAGGAAGAAAACAAACTTCTACGGTGAAGTGAAGCAATTATGTCTTGACTTTGATGTTTTGTGATCAAAAGTGGTGTCCGAGGGCATATCAGAGCTTTTAATGGCCACAAAATGTCTCCGGATAATTTCGGAGTCAATTCCAGCCAAATGTATCCATTTGCACTCTGCCTCCTGGAGCATCGAACAGCCCATCCTCAGCCACCCATGTGAAAAAATGGTTTGTGCCTCCATCTGGTGGATGATCCGGTGTACTGCACTCATCCTAAAGGCTTCAATACAGGCATGAGCTGGTCAAATAGATAAATGGGAACATGTCTAGGAGGTCTGATTAACTAATTTTCAAAACGAAGCCAAAAACAGTTTTATTTAGATGGGATTAATAACCTATGGTGACATATAACTGAAATTAAGAGTTTTACAGTTACCCGAGAAAATTTCAATGTATCCAAATGGCCAATTTTAAGATTCCGCCTTAACAAGTAAAACCTTACCAACTTTGCTATGCCTCACTTTATTAGCATCTGTCTGTTCACAGGTAATGTTCAGATATTGTGATACAGTTTCAGTCACTGCCTGGTCGATGGGAAGCTTTAAAAAGAAGAGCACACACATCTGTGTTTTGCTCAGTGTGAGGCCTGACAAAGACTCCCAGCTGCTCAAAAGAACTTCAATTCAACAATAAAGTTGGTGATGTTCAGCTGACTTGCAGTTGAACAGCTGGTCTTTGTGTACATTGTTGTTACTGATCCAGATCTTTGTCAAATGTGCAGTGTAAGGAGTTTTATACAAGTGATGTCATTTTGTCTGACATTAGCAGCTGGCTAAAAAACATCAAAAACAAAATCCTCAACCTCATCTAGGGGCTGTTTTGTCTTTTAGAAATAGGATGGCGTAAAGTGGTGGGTTAGATCTTAATATGATGTATCAGTTTCACAACTGAGGATTCACTTTGCTCTTTTGTGATGCAATTCCAGGCTTTTCCATTTCCTTTTGGTTTTCAGTGGCTATAAAACCAGTCATCCTTCTCCCCTGCCTTTGGCAGGTGCAGCATTTATTCCAGTTCCCATTTATAATCAGCGTCTGGTCTCACTTTACCCTCCCCAAACACAATGAAGCACATCCCGATATTTCTCACTCTCATCTCGTTGCCCTAATTATTCTCTTTGTTCTCTGTTGTTTCCCTCACTCTGACTCTGAAGAGGCAGGGTGGCACTTTTTAGCTTGTTCACCAGGATGTCTTCATGTGCCTTATCAGACGCTTACCGGGATTCAATCAACCCAGCACTTTTAGCATCGTTTACACCGTGAGAACGAGCCAGTCTAGAGACTGAAAACATATTTCCAAAAAGAAAAAGACAATATGCAATGATTGTTCCTGCTATTCTCAATAATGTTGACTACTCAAGACAAATCATTATGAAAGTGAAAGTCAACTTATAGATAGAGCATTAAAGTGGAAGGATTTATTATCCTCCTACCTGCACAAAGAAAACGTTATATTAGTTTTTTGCATGTTTTAGCCATGTATTGAATGGATTACCATTCCACACACACACACACACACACACACACACACACACACACACACACACTCTTACAACATAGTTTGTATGGTTAATCATTTCAGTACCGAGTTAAACGTCTTCTGCACCAGTTTATTGTGGACTTGATTTGAAAAGACTCCAGACATGACAACAACCAGACCTAAAACACAGTACTTATCACTCCTGGTAGGTAAGATTTAAGATAACGGTGTGTCTTTTGTATTTTTGTGGGTATAGGTTCGGAATAAGCTATATTAAGGAAGAGTGTTCTAAGTATTAAGAGTGTTTTGCTGTAGCTTGCAGAAGTAACATAACCAACATGACAAATTTAACAGACACTGACAAATGTAAGATTTAAGAAACAGTAGGTTTGATGATCCAGCATGTTTGATATCAAATTCAATTTAGACATGTATCATTATAACTGTTCACATGTTTAATCTCTGCAGGTAGACAGCCCCATCTTAATTGCTGCCATTTTTGTCACTGGCATTGGTGGGACATTTCAATATGGATTCTGTGTATCTGTGATGACCTCCCCCTCTGCTGTAAGTAAAATACAAAAAATAAATCATGGTGAACTGTCTTAATACAGCTATAAAGACGACTGAAAACACTCGATACACAACATTACGTTTGCATAACTAAAATGAAACCACGAATGTGATTATTGCAGTTTATAAAGGAGCTGGTGAACCAAACATGTCTACAGAGATACAGTGTCTCCTTGGACCAGTGGCAGCTCTCTCTCATCTGGTCCTTCACCGTGTCCATTTTCTGCATCGGGGGCTTAGCGGGGTCGCTGGTGTCTGGTCAGCTTATCTCAAAATTTGGCAGGTCAGTGGGAATGTACAGAAAAGTCAACAAACCTAAGTTTTAGCTTTTGTTTCCTTTTTGTTTTGGCCTCAGGGTTTAACAGAGTCTCCGTCTTCCTGTCCCACAGAAAGCAAACCCTTTTGTTTGGCAATTTTGTGTCTATAATTGGAGCTGTGTTGATGCTCTTGAGCCAAAGAGCCATGTCGTTTGAGATGATCATTGTGGGACGATTTCTCTATGGCATCAATTCAGGTGAACCTATATTTATTTAATCCTTTGATTTCTTTGTCACAGTATTTTTACATTACTTACTCAAAATGTATGATTCCCTATTGTACGCCTCTAGGAGTCAATCTTGCAGCTCACACCATGTACCTTATTGAATGCGCCCCCAAGAACCTGCGAGGGATGGTGGGCGTGACCCCCGCTACCTTCCTCTCCTTGGGGAAGTTCAGTGGTCAGCTGCTGGGGATCAGGTGAGGTGGCCGGCGTCATGGATACTGTAAGTCAAGTAAGGGGTTGGATAGGTTCAAATGACAGCTCACATGTCTCATAAAGACCCATTGTGTGTTCTCTGTAGGGGGGCGACATGGAGGAAATCTTGTATGCTGCAATACAACACATTTTCTGCAAACTCTTAAGAAAACACTTAAGAATGTCTGTTTTGGGAAAATAACAGTATTCCTTGTTGATATTAATATAAGTTATAGGGATATTTTTGATTGCCATAAAGCTTGCTTGCTCACCCACTGCAACATTACTTGGCATGGCCTGTTGAAGTCACCCCATAAAACAGTGTGACAAAATGTCTGACCAGAGTTGATTGTCAACCATATTGACCAAACATCCAACATTTATTTTGCATTTTAGCCACAGACCGTCCACCACTTTGATCCAGACTGGATGAATAACTTCTGCGATTAGCTAACTTTTTTTTATCTAGCACTGTCACCAGTTCTAAATTTTTTATTTGATTAATTTGATTTTAACATTCCCAACTTTGTATTTGATGGTAATTAGCAAAATTGTAGTATGCTACACTAAGTATCAGTGACAGTTTGGAGAGCAGGACAGGTAGGAAGGACCCAAATGCAGACTCAGAGACAGGTAGGTACAATGCAGATGCTTTAACAACACAAAAACTCTTACAGGCTCAGAATCCAAAAAAGGTACAGCTGACCGAAAACAGGTAACCGAAACTCCATACAGCAACAAAAGACAAACCGACAAATAGCAAAGGTGCTGGTCTGGCATAAATAGTGAGTGACTAATGGGGAAGTGGGAACAGGTCAGCAGGAGGTCTGGTGACTGCAGGTCTAACGAGGGACAGGTGAAACTAATCTGGGCGGGGCAGACAATCAAATCTGGCGGGAAAACACACAAAGGCAGGAAGTGAATTAATCTGAAACAACAGGAGATGAGTAACAAAATACAACTTGGGTCTTATTTTCAAGATTTTGAGAGCGTCATTGCAACAACTTATAACACTGTAATAACCACTTATTTTCCATAAGTTTATTGTGTTCCCAGATCTCACTAGTTAATTTAGTGAAAGGCCGTACAATGTTAATATTATTAATCGGAACGATGGACTGAAAACTGCTAAAATACGACCCAGGATGTACTACCCCTTCAACATGGGTCTCTTTTAAAAAAGACAAAACGCTTAAGTTAGGGTTTGTGTGCACGTCATTGTATTGCACTGTAATAGCTCAATTGTTGCATAATGACATTGCCCTTGCAGTGAGTTGCTTGGTACACGGGAGAGGTGGCCCTGGCTGCTTGCATTCAATGGTATTGCAGCGTTACTCCAGCTCGCCACCCTGCCCTTCCTGCCAGAGTCTCCCAGCTTTCTGCTGCTGAACAGAGGGGACCGCCTTGCCTGCGAGAAAGGTGTGAGACAGCATTCATGGCAAAAATAATGGTCTGGAGAGTCATTATCACTTTAATCTTTGTTGTCACCCTCCCCGAGCTCTGAGGAAGCTATGGGGCAAAATTGACTACAGCGGGGCTGTGGAGGAGATGTTGGTGGAGAAGGCTGCCTTGCAGAGCGTTCGCAGCCACTCAGTGATGGAGCTGATTCAGAACCAAGCACTCCGCTGGCAGGTCCTCACCATCATCGTTCTCTTTGTCACATTTCAGCTCAGTGGCATCAGCAGTGTGAGTGAACACTGTTTTGCACAAGATTAGTAAAATGTTAACTACACTTCTGGATACAGTACGTTCCTTTGCATAATCTGAATCTGAAATTTCAGCTCTTTTTAGGTAATGTAGAATTAATGATCCGCATAATCTCTGTATTTCCCAAACATGAGAGCTATTACTTGCATAGTTAAAGTAAAGTTGAGGCTTTCAGTCTGTGTTAATATACAGCTGTGTTATTTAGACAGAGCTGTAGATATAACATTATGGCAGAATATACATGTAGGACTGAATGGGACCATGTTGAGGCTGTAAACCCAAATGGTTCTTTTAGAGTATTTGTACACATTAAAGGCCAAAAAGATTTGACGGGAAGGTCGACATTTAGAGAGAGAGTTAGGTAAGATGAAACATATAACTCTCATGTCAGTCTGTTAAATATGAGGCTGAACCCAAGTATCGTTTAGCTTAGCACAATGACTGGAAAGTTTACACAGCGAAACCGTTTGCTTGGCTCCTTCTCAACATAACAAAATACACCAACCAGCACCTCTAAAGCTCACTCAACCAAAAGTGAAATGTCAAAAGGACAATTTGCAATTTACAACTTTAAAACACCAAATGTGCCTTTTTTTGTCGTTTGTGCAAATTAAGTAAACTAAATACTATGTGTAAAGAATTAATTACCTTAGTAGGACAGTACACTTCCAGCTGTTTCCTCCTGTTTCTGGTCTTTGTGCTAAGCTAACCTCCTGCAGGCTGTAGCTACATATTTACTGTGCAGATACGAGAGTGGTATCAATCGTCTCACCTAAAAAACTTCAAACAAAAAAGAATTTCAGTTTTGCACCCTGAACCCTGATGAATCTAAATTACTCTTATTTCTATGTACACACATGCCTAAAGGTTTCTTATTCTTACATTGTGAATGTCTATTTGATGAGTTTTGAATGATTTGAACAGTCAAACCGCAAAATATGGGGACTAAGCTCAAATTGGAATTAATGCTTAATTTTCCACGAAAGCCCCACTTTCCCATTCCAAGCAGACCAGACTTTTACAAGAGGATATTTACTTTAAATAATAGAAACATGACAACACCCCACTGCACCCTGCACTGAAACCTGTTGTACATGTTTAGATAAAAAGGTAAACTAGGAATGTGAAGGTATACATTTCAATATTTAAGGGGCTTTCAAACAGACATGTGATTTGGTTCTTATTCAAATACATCTCTCCAGGTGTACTTTTATTCCTTTGATGTGTTTCGTGAGGCAGGAATCCCAGAACACCATTTACGTTACGCCAACATGGGAATAGGGCTGTGTGAGCTGGCCACCTCTGCAGTCTGTGTAAGTTTAATTTATTTATATCTATGACCATCAATGAATTTTGAGTATAATATCCCTTCGACATGTTGACATAGATGTCCTGTTTTTCTACTATTTACTTTTGTGATTTAGGAAAACAATTATGAAACAAAAGTCTTTCCTCTTCTCTCAAAGATGTCTCCATCTGCGATACCTGTCCCAATGTATAGTTAGAGCTCCCCTCTGTGGTTGAATGCTGTAAATGTGCTTTGATATTGCAGTTCATGATCGTCGAGAATACAGGCAAGAAAGTCCTGCTGTTAAGAGGATTCATGGGAATGTCTGCAACACTGATCCTCCTCACCGTCACTCTGAACCTGCAAGTGAGTCACCACAAAACAAGACACTGTTAGCAGCATTTATTTCTGCATATTTTGATGGTTAACACATGACGAGTGATGACTGACAAGAACTCTAATAACCCATAAACTCAAGCAAGCCAACTTTTCATTTTCTTCAGAGTCAGTTTTCCTGGATGCCGTACTGCAGCATGGTCCTTATTTTCTTGTTTGTTTTCTTTTTTGCCGGGGGACCAGGTATGTTTGTCACTCAATATCTTATTCATCAAGGATTTCCATGTCAGTATTCAACAATGATTGCATCTTACTGTAGTGTATACATCTCTCCTGTGTTCTTGACCATCAGCTGGAGTATCAGCTCCTCTTCCATCTGAAATGTTAACTCAGTCGTTCAAATCGGCTGGAAACACCTTGGCCTGCATTATTGTCTGGACACTCATGTTTTTGATGGGGATACTTTTCCCTTTCTTAGTGGTAAGCACATTATTATCTACATGAACGAGAGGCCAGTAGACACAATTATTCATGATCATTCAGGTGAAATCAGAATGAAATGCTTCACTCAAACTGATTCATAAATGTCCCCAAACATGCTTTCTTTCCAGGAGAAACTGCAATACTTTTGTTTTCTCATATTCCTGTTTTTCTGCGCCACCTGTGCGCTGTACGTGAAGTTTAACGTCCCTGAGACCAAGAATCTGACAGCGCTGGAGATTGCTGTGGAGTTTCAGAGGATGCACTGCAAATCTGGAGGAGAGAGATCGCAGAGCAAAATATCCGCTGAACAGAAACTCGACGGAAACCGAACAGACGACACTAAACTGTGATCATTTTTTTGCCTGGTCATAAAGTGTCAAAGGGCAAACATTTAGCTTGAAGAGGTCACGTTATATCACAAAGAGGCGATTTAAATTCAAAAACAAGATAAAGCTCATATAGTTTAATCATATAATTACGGTCAATTTTATAAAGTCAGCTATGTGAACAATGCAGCACGACATTAATAAAGGTGGCTTCACTGTCTTTTATGACTGGTCTTTCTTTCAGACTGCTTTCATTGTGACATTATTTTGTGTGTGTTCCTTTGTGTTTCAGTGTAAACTCTTATTCTTAAACTCAGGCAAACAAGGCCGTGTTCATCTTTATCTTTGGTTATAGGTGGGGTCTCCATGGTATAAGCTCTGGCTAGTAGTTTGTGTTTACAGCTGGCTGTACTGCTTTACCCTAAAGATCAATAGCCTATTTTACTAACTGTCATAAAATACATGTTGTTATAGATTAGCAAGACTATCAGTTCAAACACCTTTGAATTAGTTATTATAGATAGATAGATAGATAGATAGATAGATAGATAGATAGATAGACTTTATTTCAGACTCAGACTTATAATCCTTTATTATCATAGTAATCTTACAACAACAGTACATGCCTAATACTGTAAAGTGCAGTTGGTTAATTAATAACGTGATTTTTTAATCATGCACATAGAGGTCCCTGCCCACAAAGGCTCACAGTAAAGGACACAAACAGTGGTGAAACAACAGCTGTCAGAAAAGGCTACAACGTCTTACATAAAACATTACACTGTAAAGAAAGAATGTTGTCTCCAAAACTTAAAGAAATAAAAAAATATAAATAAAGTAAATAACTTATCAGACATTAAGATGTACAAAGTGAAGCCTTTAAATCATCACACGGTGAACAATAAAACACAAGATAGTCTTCAATCTCCCCTAAATCAGCAAAGCCTTTTCTCGTGAGATCATTAAGACAGGCATGTCGCCTTTGAATGTGCATACAGATCTTAACTTTTGGTTTGGTTCTGCTCCACATACCTGTAGATAGTTTTAATGACACAATATGTTTTATAGTATTTTATACTAGCGTACATGTTGCTGACAATACTTCTGTACTTGTGCAGTGCAGCTTTAGGTGAAACTAAAAGACAAACGATTCAATTATCTGACATGTTTTGCTGTTCGGGTCAAGGCGGGACTGACTTTCATCGGGACACTTCTAGCTATATTACGCAGGCGTGCAGCCCCGGCACATGTGTGCGCCTCCGATAACACAATCTACATCTTCAAAGCCCAATGTCTTGCAGGACGAGTGCGTGACAAATGCTAAAGGCGAGAGGCTGGATGCGTCTGTTTACATCAGCAACCAGCAAATAGCCACAGGGAGGAGTTTCAGACTGCGTACGAAATAGAGAAAAATACGCACGTCCACGCCTTCAAAATTTGGGTAAAATTAGGCTGCAAAAAGTGCCGAGACGCAGACCGCAGCTGCATGTGAATATAACTCACAGGAGATAGGGTTTGCTGAAAATTTGAAGGGCGAAATGGACTCAGATCGCAGCATCTCCTCTGATGAGCCCAAGGTGAAGAGAAGCTTTGACCAAATGTGAGTCCATTTGATTATATCAATGGAATACGTTGTTATGCTCTGAAGTTAACAACAGCACTACTGCTTTCACTAACATAACACTTTTACAAGTCTTGTCATTTGTTGTTGTTGTAATTTCTGTATCTAATTGGTCACAAAATCAGGTCAGGAGCTACTTTATTAACAAGTCATCATACTAAGGCTGTTACTATTTAGAATAATTGGTGTTTGTCACAAGTGCTTTCTGTACAACCTCAACTTCATCCTGTGACGGTTTACACCCCATCGCAAGATACTTTAATCAGCAGACACTCTACAGTGAGCGCTCCTGCACAGCTTAAAACAAGAGCTTGTAGGTTAATTATTAACAGTAACCTTATATCTATGAGCTGTTAGGGAAGGATGGGACTGGGGCCGTGCAGACTGGAGGTGCTACAGATAGGATTCTCTCTCTCTCTGTCAGGGTGTCACTGATAAAGAGCAGCATCTGGGAGCAAGTGCCAACGGAAACCATGTACAGTTACACCAGTCAACACAACAGTCTGTTAGAAAATACAACCTGGATCCTTTTACTTGTAATTTATTTGAAACAGTGGTGGAGATAGTTGAGGCAATGATAACATCTCTACCGTCCACCCAGCTCCACCCCTGCTGTATAGGAGCAGGAGCTAAAACTACAACACGGTAATTAAGGTTTAAAACAACAACAAAAAGGTCCCTTCACGTTAGAGGACGTCTTCCCCTCTGAGAGAAAACTGATGCAAACAAGTACTACACAGCATACCAATCCTGAATAAACCTCATCAGTGCAATGAACCCATTAGGTCTATTGCTAAAAGATGTTTGATCAAGTGTCTGCAGACTTCAGCTGTGTTGTGTTTCGTCACAGGGTGTTCGTCAACAGAAGTGTGACCCTGGAAAACATCCAGTGCTATGGATTTGACATGGACTACACAATGGCAAGTATGTAACAGAAAGACCTTTGTGTGTGTAAAGTTCTGTGACACAATGAGGAGGTTATAGATTAGAACTCTGTCGTATCTGATTCTTTACTCCTTCAGGAGTTTGTCTTTAATTGTCTGGGCAAGATTCACTGACTTTATGCTGATGATGCTTGTGTGTCTGTGTGTGTGTGTGTGTGTGTGTGTGTGTTACAGTGTATAAGTCCCCTGACTACGAGCGCCTCGGCTTTGAGCTGATAAGAGACAGAATGGTGTCTGTTGGATACCCTCATGAGCTTCTACGCTACACATACGACCCCAGCTTCCCCACACGGTTGGTTTTAAATCTACCTCGCTAACTGAGGAGCATGCAACAGTGAAGTAGTGAATGCATCTGAGGTACTAGAAATAGAAGATGAAATTAAAGTTTTCTTTTCTTTGTCTCTTGTCAGGGCAACACAATTTGGGAAAGACACAAGTTGGTATATTGTACGAATGATGTAACTTTTTTTTAAATACATTTTTTTTCCCAAAGATAACTATTTGTTACATTTGTAAGTTTAAGGATACACCCCTTTAATTAAAGATCTTGTTTTCAACGGAGGTCCATAGGCAAATTCATTAACAAACAACAACAATAAAAACTAGAAAAAAAGCCTGAAAAAATGGTGGGCAATTTTCACTATATCATGTTTCAATCAATTCTCCCAAAAACTAATCATCAGGTTGGTTGATAAATAAAAGAATCACTAGCTGCAGCACTGAAAAAAACATTGTTGCCTCCTTTAATAACTGCTTCATCTGACAGCTCATGTCATGTCATGATAACCCCTTTTATTTATTTTTTCTCCCCCCTCAGCGGTTTAGTGATCGACACCACATACGGGAACCTCCTGAAGGTGGATTCAAATGGGAATATTTTAGTCTGCAGTCATGGCTTCCACTTCCTCAAAGGGTAAAGTCAAACTCTTTAGAGAATACAGCACAGACATGTTGTTGAATCGTGGTTTAAGTGGACATCTCCACCTGTAAACTCAGGTGAGATCAGTCAGAGACGAACGCACATATCAAGATCACAATACAACATGTTCAATCGATAAAAGCCATCTTAAAAAGTTATGAAAAAAAATACACATGACTTTGTCTAATTTAGCTTATTTTTAATAGATTATCATACAATTTTAGCACATTTGTTTACAGTCGGTCAGTTAGCTTGTGTTTGTGTGTTTGCAGTAGTGATCCGTGTTGTGTTTGTGTTCCACAGAGAAGACATTCACAACTACTACCCCAAGAAGTTCATTCAAAGAGATGACACCGACCGCTTCTACATTCTTAACACTCTCTTCAATCTTTCAGGTATACAATGCACCTGAAGAAATGTTGAATTTGACACAATATTAATATTTTGTGTCTGTACTTTTTGCTACCCAAAACTCTTGATAAATACAAATAAATAAAATACTTATTTGTCTGCAGTTAAAACCTATGTAAAAAAGGAAAGTGTAAACGTTTGTTTATGATATCAGCAACTTAAAAGTGTAACTAACCTGTGTTTTCGTGCACCCTGCAGAGACTTACTTCTACACCTGCCTCGTGGACTTCTACACCAGATGCCCCAGATACACAAAGTGAGTTGACTTGTTTACCTCATAAAAGCTCGACTGTTCCTTTTCGTTTTTGTAAATTAATTATAAATTAACCATTGAATTAGTCATTAAACTTCACCGCTCTATATCTGCTGTTGAATTTCTCCCAGCCTCCTGAAAGGTTTCCAGCACGGCGACTTGTTCATGTCCTACCGAAGCATGTTCCAGAATGTTCGAGACACAATGGACTTTATTCACGACACGGTGAATCTTTTGAACGTTTCTTTTCCCCTTGTTGGGCATAATCAGACTTTGTCTCTCACTGTTATACTGTATCTGTGTGCTGTATAGGGAATCCTGAAGGAACGAACTATCAAGAATTTGGAGAAATACCTTATTAAAGATGTGAGTAAACTGACAAGATATTGCACCAAAATGACAAAAGAAAAGTTGAAATAATCAACAAATGAATGTGTTTTTTTTCACAGCCAAATCTCCCTGTACTCTTGAGCCGGATTAAAGCGGTGGCCAAGGTCTTCCTCGCCACCAACAGTGACTACAGCTACACTGAGGTGAGCCTCTAAACATATAGTGAACCATGACTAAACACTCTTTACCACATATTACATGTAAACAAAGTGGAGGCATTCAAAAATGTTTTTCCTCCTTCCTCATCAAGGCTATTATGAATTACCTGCTTGAAAACAATGGCAAGGTAAGACAAGTTTATCTTTTTCTTTGAATAATCAGAAAATGCCAATTTCATTGAATCACGTCAATTTAACATTTCTCTTCATCTCCAGTCTGGAAGTGAGAAAAAGTCCTGGTACTCCTTCTTTGACCTCATCGTGGTGGACACCAAAAAGCCTCTGTTCTTTGCAGAGGGGACAGTGCTGAGACAAGTGGACACGGTATGAAAAAGACTCGCACTCTAGATTTATGTACATGTCAATGTTTACACCACGGCAGGTTTCAATAATGTTGCATTTTGGGACGCAGAACACAGGAAAGCTTCGGATCGGGACGTACACAGGCGGCCTTCAACATGGAACCGTTTACTCCGGAGGTGAGATTCAACTGCGTTTTAATATATTCATTGTTTTTATTTTACCCTGACAAGACAAAAGCATCATCCCTGCAGTGTTCATAACATACACATAGCATGCACTGACACAGATCAAACCTCTCCTTGAATAAACGTCTGTTTTTGCAGGATCGTCAGACGTCATCTGTGATCTGCTGGATGTCAGAGGTAAAGACATCCTCTACGTCGGCGACCACATCTTTGGCGACATCCTCAAATCTAAGAAGCGTCAGGGCTGGAGGACTTTCCTTGTCGTACCGGAGCTCACCAAAGAGCTGCAAGTGTGGGACGAGAAGAAAAGTAAGAACGAGTAGACAACGTTGTTGCTCTCTGTTCATTTTGATCACTTCAAACGCTTGATGACTTTCTTGGTTTTTGCAGATCTGTTCGAGGAGCTGAAACGTCTCGACGTCTTCTTAGCCGAACTTTACAAGTGAGTTATCCTGGTCTTGTTATATAAACAACACATATTGAATGTTTATGAAGTTTAGAAACTGCACCTGAACTGGTGAAATTGATGAATTCACTATCATCTATGATTTATCAATTATACCCTGAAAATGAATTGTCTAATAGTATAAAACATTATTATATAATTTGTAAAGTCATTAGTTAAGTATACTTTTAATAATTCATAATTTGTATATCATCATCTGCTGTATGTAAAAATGTTAAGGAAAACAAACAAATCATCATGTATTAGTGATAACAAATAATTGATTGATTCTAAAATATTTGTTGTTTGTTGGTTTTTAAGTTGCAACATGTGACACTTAACACTTACAATGTTTTACTGACGTTATTGCCATGACATCAGGATTTAATTGTTCACTTTCTACAAGACCTATAACACCACATTTACATGAAGCAACGACTGAATTGTTTTTGCGTTGGTCGTCTGAAGGCACCTGGACAGCGGCAGTCAGGAGTGTCCCGACATCCGGGCCATTCAGACGAGAATGAAGGTGAGCTCTGCGTATCAAAACCCAAGTTTTTTTTCCGGGAAGTTATACAGAGGGGTTCATTTAGAGACCCCAAGGGTTCAACACACATCTTCGGTCATTCAAAATATTCCAGCACATCTAAACTCCACTTGGACAAAGGTTACGGTTTGGTTGTCCATTCAAATTCTACCTCCCTCCCTTTTATTGACAGCCCAAATCAGTGCATGAGAACTTTGTGTACATCAGTATACCTTCCGTGCGTCTTGTCCTCTCCCTCCACCTCGTCCTCTCTCTGCCGCCATGTTCACAAAGTTGTCACAATATAGGGGAGCTCACCTGCTTACCTGTGTGTGAAGCAGAGTGTTGCCAATGTCAGGTATGTTTTGAATTGAAGTGTTTTCCCACTGATTGCAAGAAATGTCATTCTTGAACGTGTGTCTAATTTAAGAAACATTTGCACATATTTGTTTATTGCCTAATACTCATCAGACTGTAAACTAAATGCAGTCTGTAAAGCAGACAATGTGCTCGTGGTTTAGCAAACTTGGTCAACAGATGAGGCTAGAACAGTTAGTGTTTTTGTGTCTTGGCAATTGCAAAAAAAAAACAAAACAGCTAAACACTCAGTCCAGGTTTTTCTGCTGATGTGGTTTGTTGTCTTCATCTGCAGGTGCTGACCTACAGAATGGACATGTCTTACGGCCAGATGGGCAGCCTACTGCGCAGCGGCGCCAGACAGACGCTGTTCGCCAGCCAGCTGCTGCGTTATGCTGATCTATACTCCTCCAGCTGCATCAACCTGCTGCACTACCCCTTTAACTACCTCTTCATGGCGCCCCCAGTCCTGGTCAGCCCCCCCCGCCCCTACACATGCCTGCACAGAAAACAAGTCTGCGTTCTTTCATAATTTATCATGAAGCTCATTCTTCATCTCACTCATGAACTCTTTCAGATGCCCCACGAATCAGCGGCTCAACACGCAGCTGACTTTGCCTCATCAGAGCTCGCTCGCACCAACAACATTGTCAAGATGAGCAGAAACTAAGGTTTGTATCATTATGTTGTAGCAAAATTGCTCTTGTTCTTTACTGAATTTTGTTGGTTTATTATCGTTTCTCTCTCGCAGTGCCGAACACAGCTGGCCGACATGTTTCAGTAGAAGAACACGTGAAGAGGAATATTCAAATTAATCTGATTAACTGATGAAGGTGACTGTTTGCACCTGTGCTTGTATAAAGGTTTTGTTGCAGCCATGACGTGCCTCCTTTACTAAAAAAAATAAACTAACCTATTGCTCCACCTTGTGGATGTGAAGTGCTATGCCATGCAACGAGGTTTGGGGATTGAAAGCTAAAGCAGATTCAGGGTTACTGTATATATGAGTGTTAATCTGTTGTTATATGTAGCGGTGCATGTGCACTTTTGAAGTTTGTGGTTTTTAGGAAGTGACTTCATTTGTTGTTTGTGCAGCAACACTTCTGAATCATTTCAGTAAATCATTCAGACTATTTGTTTTCATTGAAGTACAACAGCTTTGACAAAACATGCCGGTGTATATGCCATTAGTGGATCTCAGTTCATTTTAAAGGACCTCCTCACACAATCATTTTACCACTGTCTTAGTGGCACAATGGACATTTTCATGAGGGCCATTTATTTTGCAGAAAGTAGTTCCAATGAAAATTGGTCACGCAGAGGTCTGTGGATTATTCAGAGTAACCAGGACACTGTTTCGGGAAAGACACGTTGCTGTTGAGTTTTTTCAAACTAGAAATCTCAAGAACACATGACGCACAACCTGATCAAATAAGAGGTTCTAAAAGCAAGTTCAGAAATACACTTGTATTGTGTTTGTGTGAAAATGACCCTTCGAAGTTGTTCTTTTGTACTACATCTGTTGTCCACTGGATGGCAGAGAATCCCCTCTTCAACAGACTCAGGTCAGATCCGTCTCTGTGTGTGTGTGTGTGTGTGCGTGTGTGTATGTGTGAGAACTGGCTGAAAACCATAAAGAAGTGAAAACTGTTTTATCTGACGAAACAAAGATTTGTCTCTTAACACACGATAACAGGAATCACTGTGTTTACAATAAAATCCATTCAAATATGTGCTCCAAAAACAGTAAATACAGCAGCTCATCTACTGGCAGGTTAAACTGCTGCATGTTTGTGTATATCCCCTAATAAAACTAATCTTATTTTGCTCTTGTCATACATACACACACACACACACACACACACACACACACACACACCTGTGAAGTGCTAACTGTACACACACTCTGTACCTCCCTCTTGTTCTCTCTTTGGCTCTGACAGTCCTGCTCACCAGAGCCGAACCTTAATCAAGAGACAGCTGAGAGGAACATGTGTCTCTCTCTGTTCGTTACTGTATATCAGTCCTGATCATGTGTGAGAAAATATGTTGGTGTTCTTGCAGGTTTGAAGTGTGTGTGCATGCGCAGTATCGCTGTTTTCCTGCTGTGCTCCTGTAGAGAGACACATCTGCCCCACATTTCACTCTGCAGAAACACTAATACAAATATAGCATCAGTCTCACATTTGACATGATGAAGCATCCATTGATGTCAGGAAACACCTTCAACTTTGGCTTAAACTCGTGGGAGGAAAAACAGAAGAGAGCACAATATTATCAGTAAGGTCCCGTGCTGAATCTTATTGTGTTTACTAAAATGAGAAAGATTTGAACAAATTAAGAAATCATTTTCAAGTGCGGACTGTTCGAGCATTTCTATGGACATCTTGACACGATTCATATAAATGTGTGAGAATCTATTATTCTTTCAAATCGTATACATTCCAGGCAAGTCTAAATAAGGAGCCACCCACTGCATGTATTGGCAGTTAGAATCCTCAGCTTTCATCTCTGTTTGATGTAACACAGTAATACAAGTCCCCATCTTTTTTTTTGATGCAGTTATTGACTTAAACTTTCGTTTTTTATTGTGCTGAAAATGCAGTCAGACCTTTGATTCTGTGCTACATGTCCTGTCCTTTGGACGGCATTAAGCCTCCACTGTGAAGCTGAATGATCAGCCTGACACCCGACTAGTGTGACACGTATCAGGTTCTCTGTGCTGTTGTTTAGAGTTTCACCTACATGTCACTCTGCTGACATATCTGCTTACTTTAAAATAACACAGTATGATCACACTTCTGATATTAATGATATTAACATGGAGGAGGAAGAGGAGGTGTTGATGTTCATCCCTGAACACGACTTCAAATGTATCAGAAAACACGAGGAAACATTTTGGTAAAGGACGTCATAGTGATCGTATCAGTGTAAATATTAAAGTTCAAGAAGAAACTGAGTCAGTTATGGCTTCATATTCTTTTAAAATATTCAAAAAAGCATTTTATGTTGTGGCTTTTTTATTAACAATGCAAAAGATTTATGCTATTCGTGTTCACAGAAGACACCAAACACTCAGCTTTATAAACCTTTTCAACTTGTTATTTTCTCAGCCATTATATCAAACAGGCATATTCTAGATGAACGCAACATAATTCTTTTTTTTACTTTTTCCCAAAATTATGTTCTGGATTATTTGTAAAACTTTGTAAATTCCCTCAGATGTCAAAATAAAGTTGTGTGTGTTTGAACAAAGTTTGGCTGCACTTACAGGAGTTAATACATGTATTGAGGTTTAAAATCAGACAATTATTGAGTTTATTTAATCAAAACTGATCTTAGAACAGTAAAGATTCACTCATTCACACTGATGATATATTTGCACTGCTTTTTCTGAAGCGAGCAGGCCGTTACTAGGCCTGGAATTTCAATGTTTTAACAATATAATAAGATATACTAACATTTTTATGGAGGAATACTGTTCTTGTTTTTTTCAGTTTTCCAATTCTTGAATGCAAAATTCCATTTGGCATAAAGGTCTCAGATTGGCTATATATATAGATATATTTTCTTTTTTAACATCTGATCGCCAAACAATTTATTTATTTTAAAGATTGATTTTAACTCGTTTTTTTCAAGAAAATAACAGTGAGAAATTGAAAACTTAAATTATTCATCTTTATTCAGATAGAAGTTGCAGAGAAAATGACCAGCAGTTTTCTTTCATGACACATGTTACATAAACCACAAAAGTAATTAAAAACATATATACATTTAACTTTTTTATTCCATATTAAAATCATATGTTTGAATGACAGTTCTGCTTTTCTTTCCAACAAACTGTCTAACAGTGAATTCATACGTGCTTTTAAAAAAAGCTTAATTAACTACAGTGTAATGAAAACACACCCAGTCACGAACAGCAGGGTCAACGACACGTCACAAAAGGGAAGAAACAGAAACATTTCATGCGTAGCGGTTTGTTTTTTGCATTTAATGAAATGCAGATGCCATTATCTCACCAGCTTGTATTCTCTGTAGTTTTATCTGCACATGAAAAAGCTGCTCAGAAAAGCGCCTCTGACATGTTGGGTTTCATTGCAGGATACTTGCTGCTCTATGCAGTCAGATAACTGCAGAAGCACCACCGTCCCCCATTCCACACATTCCAGGATTTCCCAGCAAGCATTGCAAGCAAGCCTAAACAAGTCACGTTCTTTACTCAGGGAGAATTTCACACAGTCAAGGGACTGAGGTCTCCTTTTTGCCTTCCCTTCGGTGTGCAATCACATAAATGCACTTTTACATCTTCTAAAATTCAAAACTACTTTTTTTTTTTTTTTTTTTAAACCCAGACAAACTGGGTTTAATACACCACAAGCATTCTTTCACCTGAAACACTAATTTGCAGCAGTGCCTAGAAGATTTGTGTCCTCTTCCTGGTTTTATTACTTGTGTCCTTCTTCTGCAGTTTGCAACAGCAAACTGGACTGTGTGGTTAAACATTTCCACCCAGAGGGGTCTGCTGACAGTCATCAAAACAAACAGACCTCTTTACTCGCTTACTTTACGGTTCAAACACGAGGCGCACACACACACACACACACACACACACACACACACACACACACACACACACACACAGGAGCAGTGACACCTAATCTCAACACGGAAAGAAAGAGAGACAGAAGAGAAGGCAAAACGCGAGGGGGAAGAGAGGGCCTTGCTCCCTACATTCCTCCCAAACCTCCCCTCCCCCCATCGACCTGCTACCACTGAGGATGCTCAAAAACACACATCGGCCTCACCCGCCCACTTCTTTCTTTTCTTTTCCTTTTCTCCATCTGCTTATTTTACCATCAGCACACTGATACACATCATCACAGTGTTTGGTGTGACGACAAAACAACACATAGGTAAAGAAAATAAACCCAGCAAACTGAAAAAAAAACAACCTGATTTTACCAGTGAATTCATCCTTGAAAATCACGTTCAGATAATGGAAAAGTTTCAGTTGTGTCCTGACCTATTGACTTGCCCTTCTGGTGGTCACTTCACGTAATTAGCCCCATTTTTCATGAGCTGTGGTGTAAAATAAAAAGGTGGGTAAATGATGGCTTCCAATCAATGCACCACCACACAAGATGGGACAAAAATCACTGTTACAGTTTTGCAAAAAGCATTATGTAATTTGTTTTCTTCCTTTAAAATGCACATCTGTTCAATGCACTGCTATCCTTTAAATTTAGGTCATGAGGCGCTTGTCAGCCTTCAAATGTGTGTAAACTCTTCTGTAAATACAGAAGTGGGTAAACAGTTTAGGGGGGTTACTCTGCACCACCACCTGCTATCAGTCATCAGCTCCACTTCTACACAAACTCATTTGAAACGAGCCCTTTAGCACCAGTTTAGTGTGAGCTGAGGCCAAATGCTATGACAATACTATTGCACTGCTAGAATGGATGGTACAGTAGTGCAACATTGTCAAAGCAGCTGACCTCAGCATGTGTCAGCACGTGGACAGCCATTCTTTACTGCCAAACTCCAATTACATGTAAATAAGTAACAATGCTGTTTGTCTGATTGGAATGTTAAATGGTGTTTAAAAAAAAAAAAAAAGAAAGAGGTAGGTGTTGAACTTTAAATTTAACTTATATTAGATTCATTTTTTTTTTTTATCTCAACTGCTACACAATAAAGCACAATGACAGTTGAGATCGTTTTCCACTTTATGATGCTAGTTAGTAAAGACATTGTTGCTTACAAACACACACACACACACACACACACACACACACACACACACACATAATGACATTTAAGGACACCCCCATAGCACCATGTGCAGGTTAAGTGTTAAGGCAGTTAAGGAAGGTGTGTGTCACTGTTTCATCAGCCAATGCCCTTTTAATATTGCACTGCTCTTCT